ATCTGACTACCTTCCATTTGACCGGGGCAGTCACAAAGCGTAAATCTTACAGGCTTATTTATATGGCCGACAATGTGCGACACGGCGTAACGGTACGACGTCGAGAGTTCCCTCTCAACCAGCCGACTTTAGTTTACGTTTGCCTATTTATTCATAACCCAACCATCGGTTAAACTGAAGGCTGTGCAGTTCAGAAATTAATCGTGTATTTTCAATACGATTCTGTAGTTCCAATGCTCTCCTGAATTCACTGCGCTTCCAAAGTAACACCCGACGCCTAAAGCATCCTTTTATAAAATTTGCTTCGGTGACACCACAGTTACAAAACGTAAACGTGAACATGTCATCAACTGTGATGTACAAACTTTGCAGGAATTTAACGTGCCCTGCTTGAGTAATATTACATTCAAGCACGCAAACCGAAAACCTTATATCAAGCATAAACGGCAAAAGTGACCGCCTGCATAGTCAGCGTCGCCTTCAACACGAATGGCAACAAAAGTCATCATCGCCACCATCACCCCTGCCACTACTACTACTACAACCACCACCGCCACCACCACCACCACCTTGACTGTTGCTCTGATCATCCAACTCTTTATCTCGAAGGAGTCGAAGGCTTAAGCCACCCGGTGCGGTCATGATCAAAGAAGTAGATGATGATGACCGCAGCGGATGGCTTTTGCTATGGAATCTTCTTAAACAAATGCGTTAAAGGCCCTGGCAGGGGGGAGGGGACTTTTTAATCTTTTTTTTTCGTTTCAAGCCCTCCTGAAGTGCGGGCGCAGAGGCCACTCAACGCACTATTTGCGCCTCCTTCGATAACCTTGTTTTCTTCTTCGAACACAGTTGCGTACATCACTATCTCCTTCTTTTCATGACATTATTTATCTATTACTTATTCATTTGATTTACATACACGGCTGCACAAATACACAGAGAAAAGAAGACGAAAGCAAGCTCGCAACTGCCACCTGGGAGGGGGGGGGGGGGGGTTTTTAAAAAAATACCGCGGTTGACTCCAGTTTGAAACTTCGCTTTCCTGTAAAGAGTGCACCGCCGCATAAACACCCATAGTGAGGGGAAACCAACGCTCGGGCACACAAGGTGAGGCGAAAGCCAAGAGAAGGAGACCGGAGAAACTTCGAAGCTGCGCTTCTGAAGCAATGCGTCGGCAGGCCTCACAAAGGGTAAGGCACGGCAAACTTACGCACGCAGACTGAGACAAGTAGCGAAGGATGGGGGCCGGTCGAGATTTATAGGTCTAACATACATTCGGCACCCGCAGTAAGCGTCGACCGGATCTACGCGCCGTCGAGTTCCCGCTAGGCTCAGCTCAAAACGTACGCCCCGTGCCACAAACGGGGTGCTTCTTCCGGCCCCTATTCGCATCGTCACCGAGGCAGAAAACATTGAAATGGGGAGAAATAAAATGAAAATGAAGGACGAAACTGACAGGAGAGGCGAAGAGGCGGCGAAATCCCGTTGCCTACGCATCCATCCATCCGGGCAGCCGAGCATGCATCCATTCGCCGTTGCCGTAGCCACCCAGCGTTTCACATCTGATCTTGCCGCTGCTTCGGTGCCCGGCCAGCGTTAGGAGGAGAAGCCTTCCCCGCTTCGGCGAGACTAGGGTTATCTATCCAGAAGATTCGCTTCTCCCTTCTACAGTGGGAAAACTGCCAACCCGCCGAGATCGTCTTTCCCGCACTTTTCTTCGTCTTCTTCTTCTTCTTCGCAGCATCTCGAATCCTTTCTTTGCCACTTGTTCGCGCCCGGGCGTGCTCACAGCTCCTTCTCTAACTTTCCCTTAGACGTACTTTGCGTCGACGGTGCTCAGAATCACGAGAGGTCGTTTTGCATTCCTCCGTTTTGGGTGGGCCTCGAATCGACAGACACCGAGACGAGGAACGTTCAGAAAAGAAAAGAAAGAAAGAAAGAAAGAAAGAAAGAAAGAAAGAAAGACAGAAAGAAAGAAAGAAAGAAAGAAAGAAAGAAAGAAAGAAAGAAAGAAAGAAAGAAAGAAAGAAAGAAAGAAAGAAACGGTGTCTATGCCGTCTGATGAAAAAAGCCCAGCACCAAGCCCCGCGTGTCCCGACGGCGAAAAATTCTTAACCTTGCAGCGCGCATATATTGGATGCAAGAAGACGGGTGACATCGCTTTAACTCACAGGGGGACCGACCACAGTCACGCTGAAAGCAGAGTAACAGAGGGGATTAAAAAAAACGCACACGAACGGCAAAGCAATTAAATGTGAACCTGGCGACGTGGGTGAAACCACCACAACACTCGCTGTCCACCCTGCCCCTAACGCCAGCAGGGAAGACAAGTACAACAGGACAATCGTAGAAGAGACGTTTGTACAGCAGCACGCCTCAGAATCTTACTCGTGGGCACGACGCAAGAGAGGTCCGCTAGATTGAAAACCAAAGTACAAAAAATATAAAGGGGGACCACGAAACCAGAAGCAGACTTCGATACTTGCCGGCATTAGTGAGTTGGTGGTTAGATAAAACCAGAAGCCGACTTCGGACTGTAGCGGAATCAAGTCCCGGACAACTCGGCCGCCTTTTCGACGGAGGCAAGAATGCGAGAGGCCCGAGTGCTTCAATTTAGGAGCTCGTTAAGGACCTGTAGGTCGACTAATTTTCCGACGATCTTCACTACGGAGTCTCATATAATGATATCGTGGTTTTCGAAGGTAACACCCTCTCCAGTTATTATTGTTAGAAGCCAACTTTGAAACAGTTTGTCATTGGTCGGTTAGTAGTAACGACATCCCACAAGTTGTGAAAGAACAACTAACCGCGCTTCAGGTGTAATTCGAGCGTTCAATAAATGCACCCCAAACCGCAAGCTGTAAAAAAACAACTCCTCAACTGCCCAGTTCATCGTTAAACTAATATAATTAGGCACAACTTCACCGTATTGTGGTATATTTATTCACGAACACTGTGCTGTGCCCAGCAGCACTCAAACACTTCAATCCCGCCTTTCTCCACCAGCTGCTCACCCTGTGGGGAGAAGTCTTCGGACATATATCACAAGGTGTGGGCGCGCCCCCGCAACCCTGTTTAACCCCCTATTCCCAGAGCTAACCCGGGAGTTGTACGGAGGCGACTGTACTTGGCTGTCCTGACACTCAGGCCCAAAAGGCCTTGGTTCGACCAGCCCAGGCAGCAGCCGACGCCAATGGGGTCCCGCACGCACTAGGAATCCCCCCCCCCCTCCCCTACTAGTTGTGGGTGCCGCTCTTTTATAAGGCGCTCTCTGCATACCTTGTTTGTTTCTAATGAATGTTTTCACGACCACCAACCTCTCCCACTCCCCCCAAAAAAAAAACAAAATAACTAAGACTAGTGTGTATGTGGCTGGCAAGTGTGCGATGTGGAGAAATGGCAGGACACTAGCTTGGAGAGAGGTGGAGAAGAAAAAAAAAGGCTTAACAGTAGGAAAATATTCAATGAAGAAGAAAAGGTGAGATGAGAGGAAGAAGCGTGTCTAAGTCCTGGCGTTGGGTCGCCTACGGCAAATCCAGTGGAAGCGAGAGAAGCATAACGCGCCAAGATACAGTAGCAAAAGTGAAAGAAGAGTACACGGCTAGGACAAAGCAGCGGGTCGGAAGGAAGAGTTAAACAAGTTTGCTTTTTTTTTTCATCTTCTTTGGCAGCACATGAGCGTGGGCTTGTGTGAAGAAGCGTGGCTGAGAGGCCCAGAGATTAAAATGTGGTGGAACGAGAAAGAAGCGGCGTTAGGCGGCGCATTTGCAAGAGAGCTCTACACGGTCCCAACGTGTCGCAGGTATAAAATGCAAATGCTAGCCTCGAGTTCATATATTTTAAATAAAGAAATAATAAGAAAAATGAACCATGTTCAGCGTGAAACAGGATTGGGGGAAAGAAAGTTAAGACAATGAAGCGGAACCGAGTTGAACAGGAAGGCAAATGTATCAAAAAAGAACGTTGCAGATCACGGACAAAAAAAAACAGCGTTAATATAAACCTGCAAAGCTAGGGACAGCGGGAGACAAACAGTTTCCATAAAAGTAAACTTAAGAAAGCCCAGGGGATCGATGCAAGAGGGATGTGAGAAAAGGGGCATGTTAGCGAAGAGATAGATAGAAAAAAAACAGCGAGAAAAAAAACTGACTTTCAATTGAATAACCGAACCGTGCATAGCGGATACACTTCGACAAGCAAGGAACAAGCTGCATCTAGAACGGCACAAAATAGGGAAGAAGGGCGAGAGGTGATAAAAAAAGAAGAGAATAGTAGGGAGAAAGGGGCGAATAAGAAAACGAAAACGTTAATTGTAGAAGGCAATAAGATAGGCGGCCGCGTATTGAAACGAAAGCAGTGTGAGAAAGACACAGCGGGAAAGAATCGGGATGCACGCGGAGGAGCTTTGCCAAAGTGGAAGAACAGGGAGGAAGAGGAGGGTGGGGAAGCTTGGGGCAAAAGATTGAAAGAAGGCGACGGCAGCTGAGCCGCCGGCTTTGGCGCATGCGTGATTCGGCGGCGAGGAGGGAGGCAGCTAAGGGAAATCAGGATGGGGAAAGGGGGAAAGCGCGGCGAGACTTGTACGCTTAGGGGAAAGGTGAGAAGGGAGCGCGTACTCGACTCGACGAAAAACGGGCCCGCCGACCGAACCGGCCCGGCCTGTGAGATCACGAGGCGCTGCTCGGCCAGACAGAGTTCGGCGCCCGGCGGCGTAGGCGGCGCTGCTTCGTCCCAAAGCGCTCGACGCAACAACCGCGCTCGCTCTTTCCTTAGCACGCCTTGTCATCGGCGCTGGCCTGAAAACACGTCGTCCTTCGTCATTCGAAAGAGACGTGACAGCTTTGCGGCCGAAGCCGCGATCGAAGCCCTGCAAAAGTGCTCGCTTCTATTATTCCTGTCGCTGGCGTACGCTCGCGCTTCGACAGGGTAGCTAGACTAGTCGGCGTTTCCATCTTTCTCGCATAGCCTGTTGAGGAGTCGACGCACGCTGTGGCATAGTTGTGAGATAGAGAGCTCGCAGGTAACGGTAAGACGTAGGGCGGCCCGAAAAAGAGGGGAAAAAAAGTTATTGGAAGTAGGTGCCAGTAGGTGAAAAGTTCGAATTTGGTCAATCAGAAGAAAACCTAGCAAGAAGCGATAGCGTTTAGCCGGTAGGACCCTGTGGTAGTATACGGAAAGCAGCGGCACGTTAGACAGTCAAGACAAGTGCATCGAGAAGCCTCGGACGACGTAAGGTTGCAAGCAGTCGACGAACCGAGATCAAGTGAGTAGCATCGTCTCTACGATTTTCCCGTATTGTAATCAACAATTTTTTGCTATACCTGCCACTATTTTCCCAAATATAATTTCCCACGTAAAATGTTAGCAATTTCTCAAGGCTTCTATCAAGCTGTAGAGAACGAACAAGTTATGAAGATTGTAGGTGAAACAAGATATATTAGTTCTCTGTGTGTGACAATGACGTGTCAGAATAACTTGAAAAATGTTTATCTTCTTTGAAACACGTGTACTCTTAAACGCGGTGCTAATTTACATGCCTTATATTTGATAGAAAAAATATTTTTGAATGGTTACCAATCGTTTGCTGCTGTATACAATATTGTTGTGAGTGGCACTGACACACGCTTGCATTACGATTGAACAAATAAGACACTTATACTACAAAACGCAATACTCACTTTATAAAATGCAGTCAACAATAACGACGTCACACGGGCATTTTCGACCGCGATCATGGCCAATCCGGATCAGATTTTTCGGTCTTGATCACCTACACGGGCCGAACTAATCAGAAGCAAGTTCGGCGCATACGTCAGTCACATTGTGACCTGGAAGCCACATCGCGATCGTCTTCATCTCGATCGGGTCTTCTGACGCTTTAAGTTGACCGTGCATTGTCATCTGATTCAGACGAATCCTAACCCAGATCGCGGCCTTGAGCGCGATCGAAATTGACCGTGTGACACATTTATCAATACAATGAAAACTCCCGTGCGTAGTGGCGACTGTTTTCTTCATGGCACCGTAATTTTACGAGCGACGCTGCCAAAATTTTATGCGACGAAAACTCAAGCATATAGCAGGCTTAGGACAGCGAAATTGGGGCATGCATGGAAGACACGGGAGGTACCGACTCCGTCATAGTGGCCCGGCAGTCACGCTATATCGCTGCAGTAATCCAGACTGCAGCTTTACATACTGGGGCGTCATAGCCACTAGTTAACGATCCAAGCCTAACAATTTTCGTTACTTTGGACGCACGGAGCATTTCCGGCGCTTATTTCGCAGCACAATAATTGGGGAAGCAAAGATCGACGAAATCCGGGACACTCACTTATGAACTACCAAAGTGTAGCACGATCAGCGGTAAATTATTGGTAAGTGATGCGTAATTGTGAACCTGCCTAGCCGAGGGGGGGGGGGAGGGCAATGCAACAATTTTATTCCCATACACAGTAAAATACCAATCGAACAAAGAACAGATAAGCGAACTATTCAGTTGTACGACCTTAATTCCTCACCGAAGCATGTGTGACACCGTCAAGTGTATATCACGTCACATTTATCAGAAATAATCTGAAAGACTAAATAAGAACACCGCTTTGCGGGAAAACTGGGGGACCCTTAAGATTAGCCTTTAAGAGTTGAACGTATAATAGCCAAATTCTGTCTCTGGTGCGTACCGAGTTCAAAATGACTTGGGTCAGTGAAACTTTCGCGTACGGCTGCATTCTGTGTAATGGGTAGGTGCTTTAAACCACGGGCAAGTGTGCGCGCCAAATCTTTTCGAACTCGCCATGCACCCACTATACGTAGCCTTGAGAGAAAGGGCGCAGTAACACGTGTGCCTTTCGTAGAGGGAGGTGCGATTTCAATCACGAATTCGCGATAATCGCACGTTTTGACGCCCGATGGCACTGTACGCTTGTACGACGCATTATTACTGCGACATTACATGTTGCACTGTGAAGCATGTATACAGGACGCGTTTGTTTGTAAAGCGTGCAAGTTACTTTCACTGCATTTCCAAACAGAGGAAGTTATTTTCACTGTACTTCCAAGCAGCATTTATTGATAGGAAGCATTTAATGAAAGAGTTGATTGATTGATTGATTGATTGATATGTGGGGTTTAACGCCCCAAAACCACCATATGATTATGAGAGACGCCGTAGTGGAGGTCTCCGGAAATTTCGACCACCTGGGGTTCTTTGACATGCACCCAAATCTGCGCACACGGGCAATGAAAGGGTGGAGTGCCATTCACTGACAGCGGACGTCCCCGAGACCGCAGACTACGGGACGTTCAGTAGCAGCATCCCTGCATGTCGCATTCGTGAAACTAGAAATTTCATGACAGTTGGGCGAAATTACGCTCGTGACTTGCTGACGTCGAAGACAGGATGTCAGGAAGTCAAGCCGGTGATGCTTGACTTCCTGAAGTCGCGTGACAGCGCAATTTCGGACATTTAAAGTCACAGAATGGGATAAGCACTTCAATGTGACAGAAGCATAGGACGGTTACAACATGCCAAAAAACAGACGATAAATACGTGTAAGCTGACTAAGACGTACGTGGATAATGGAACTAATTTTCCGAGAATGAAAGCACATCGCGTACCGCACAACTGCAACTTTCTATCTACCTGCGCGCACATCAACGCCATTTTAGGAGCACTTCTTCGTTTGCCCTCCACGGTGGTGTATAGTGGTCAAAGTACTCGACATCTTGACCGGCAGGTCACGGGATCAAATTCGGCCGCGGCGGTGGACCCAAAAGTGCTTGATGCCCTTGCACTTAAGATATTTTGCGTTAAAAAATTCCAGCTGGTCAAAACTTCCAGAGCTCTTCACTACGGCTTCCCTTATCATTTGAGGCGTAAAACCCAAATTTTGGGGCGTGAAAACCCAAAAAATAAAGAAAAAACTTTTCCGTTTTGTTTGACTTCTTTTACCTCTGGCGCGATTGCGAACGCTTGTCGTGTGGTGGCACAGTCCCACACGCCACGAAGAATTTATTGCATAAATTTGGTTTCCTCCCTCTATCTTATTTATTCTTATTTCCCGTGCCCTCAGCGTACAAGGCAGTCAACTAAACACATTTCTGTTAAACGTAAATGTCTTTCTGTTTCCTTATTTTCTTAACGTATCGGTCAATTTTCATTTTAACGCAAACTGCACTTTACATCACCACCTCAATAGCCTTAGTTGGCGACGTAGACGGTACTAAATTTTTGCTTCAGCAAACGATAACTGATCAAGTTTGTGAAGCTGCCTTGCGCGGAAAAGGCAAAAAGCGATTTTGGCATCCACTAAAGTCCTTGAGGTGCCCAAATCACCATCGCTTGCGTCGTTTCTGTTAAGACAAAAAATTGCCCGCAGCTTCCCTCGGGGGAACACTGAGGAGGATGCGGAGCATATAATTGGTTAACGGGGTGTTAAAGTGCGACTTACTTGGGTCGATGGCTAAATTGGTTAACGTGGTTGTGAAATGGGGTGTTAAATTGCGACTTACTTGGGTCGATGGCTAAATTGGTTAACGTGGTTGTAGGAGGGGGTGTTAAATGAGTGAACACGTACACACGTATGCGAAAGGGCGGCGCTGGTCGAAGGGACGTCGATCATTGTGTTTGTGGATTCGTTGGAATTCATTTCACCGCGACCTTGGACGTCGACGCGCCGTACAAACCAACCGACGAGCGGCAACTGAGCGAGCGAGCGCCGACCTTGAGTATATATACAGCGCGACGGCGCATGCACTGTCAGCTGTCGAATGTTCGAGAAGGGGGAGAAGCGCAACGGCGCATGCGCGCGCGTCAGCTGCCGATGTTCTCGAAGCGCGACGGCGCATGCGCGCGCGTCAGCTGCCGATGTTCTCGAAGCGTGACGGCGCATGCGCGCTACATTATACAGCTAGCGAATGTTCGTGAAGAGGAGAAGCGCACGCGGTGTGTAGAGGAGGAAGGGTGCACAGATGGTGGAGGAGTGAAGCGCGCGCGGTGTGTAGAGGAGGAAGGGATGCACAGATGGTGGAAGAAGGAGGAGGAAGCTTGCGGACGGCGCCGCACTACAAGCCTCGAGTATTAGATGCTCCGCATCTAAATACCTCAGACGCTTCATCAAACGCGAAATTTGAACATCGGCGTCTCGCATACCGCCGGGTCAGGTTACGAGTGATGCAAGAAATCATCATCACGAGATGACGTCCCAGATCGTCAAAATCTGTTGCGTTATTACTACGTCATCGTGGCGGCACGTGACGTAACGTCACATGCTAATGTCATCACATCGCACGCTATAGAGCTTGATAAAAGGTGCTCCGATCACGGAGCCAATGCAGAGCCAAATTAGATGTTTTCAATCACGGAGGCAATGCAAAACCAGATGAGACGCTTCCGATCACGGAGGCAATAAAAAAAACATTATTTGCAGAACGCTTTCGACGGGTGGCGGTGCAGCATCCAATACATCGGCTAAGAGAAAACTAAGGTGGCTCTCACGCTCTAGTCGTCTTAAGTGAGTGCACCAGGAACCAAGCAAGTTTTATATATATATATATATATATATATATATATATTATATATATATATATATATATATATATATATATATATATATATATATATATATATACATATAATGAATATTGTCACGCGGTTGGGAAAGTGACGAATGCAGGTTGCAGCAAGAACCAGGAAACACGCAACTACTCATTCGGCGAACCTGTGCCCGGCATATAAAGAGTCGAGGTAGTACAAGCGATTTCGCAATGTACAGGTGCGATCAAAAGTGTGCAGACCCCGCGATCGCGTGGCAGAATGCATCGACGCGCCAGCTAGCGACGAGACACGACGAGACACCTGCTGCAGGGCGCATGCGCGTTCCCGTCTTATCACTCGGCTTCTCATGTCGCTCTGTTGGACGCAGTTACGGCTCTCGTAGCCAAAACGACAACCGGGTGTCGCTTTCTTTGCTCCATCGAATATGTGCCGTTCTTTTACGTAGCGGCTGCGACGGAGCTGGTTCAAGTGCCGGCTCGCGTTGTTATTCACACCGGTTGATTAGGATAAGTAAGCCTAGCGAGCACCGCACAACCCGACGAAGCCGAACGCGCAAAATTAGGTTTTCTCAGGCCAGCTCGCCTGTGTAGCGCTAATCCAAGTTGCACTTAAATGAGCTCAGTTAAGACAAAGTGGATGTAGCCGAAATTAATTAAATATAGTCGAGTACATCATGACCTAAATAAGTCAGGCATAAGTAGGTT